GCAGACATTTGTGGTAGCAATATCTGTACTGATACAGCTCTCGGGCAATGGAAACTAAAGAGAAAATAAAAAAATGGGACTACATCAAAATAAAAAGCTTCTGCACAGCAAAAGAAACTATCAACAGAACAGCAAGAAAGCCCACTGCATGGGAGAACGTATTTGCCAATGTTATCACCGATAAAGGTTTACTCTCCAATATCTACAGTGAACTCATACAACTTCACAAAAGGAAGATATACAATCCAATAAAAAGTGGGCAAGGGACCTAAATAGACACTTTATGAAAGAGGACATTCAGAAAGACAAGAGACATAGGAAAACGTGCTCAAAATCACAACATCGGAGAGATGCAAATCGAAACGACCATGAGGTACCATCTCATACCTGTCAGAATGGCTATCATAAACAAATCAACAAAGGACAAGTGCTGGAGAGGATGTGGAGAAAAAGGAACACTCGTGCACTGTTGGTGGGAATGCAGATTGGTGCAGCCAATGTGGAGAACAGTATGGAGTTTCCTCAACATGTTAAAAATAGAACTCCCATTTGACCCAGTGATCCCACTTCTAGGAATATATCCCAAGAAACCAGAAACACCAATCAGAAAGGATATATGTACCCCTATGTTCATAGCAGCACAATTTACCATAGCTAAGATTTAGAAATAGCCTAAATGCCCATCAGCAGATGAATGGATTAGAAACCTGTGGTACATCTACACAATGGAATACTACACTGCAGTAAAAAAGAAATTCTTACCATTTGCAACAGCATGGATGGAACTAGAGAGCATTATGCTAAGTAAAATAAGCCAGTCAATGAAAGAAAAGTACCACATGATCTCACTCATTTATGGATAATAAAGAACAGTATAAACTGATGAACAAAAATAGATACAGAGGCAGAGCAGCATGGAACAGACTGTCAAACTACAGCGGGAAGGCTGGGGAGGGTTGGTGGGGGAGGTAAGGGATAAACTGAAGGACTTGTATGCATGCATATAAGCATAACCAATGGACTCAAGATACTGGGGGGTAGGGGAGGCTGGGGGAAGGTCAATGGGGAAAAAGGGAAACAAATGTACTACTCTTTGTAATACTTTAAGCAATAAAACAAAATTATATTTTAAAAAGATAGCCCTAACCGGTTTGGCTTGGTGGATAGAGCATCAGCCTGCGGTCTCAAGGGTCCCAAGTTTGATTCCGGTGAAGGGCATGTACCTTGGTTGCAGGCACATCCCCAGTAGGGAGTGTGCAAGAGGCAGCTGATTGATGTTTCTCTCTCATCGATGTTTCCAACTCTCTATCCCTCTCCCTTCCTCTCTGTAAAAAATCAATAAAATATATTAAAAACACTAAAACTTAAAAAAGATAAACAACTGTTTGGATCCATGAATGAGCAGGTCAGTGGTAGATATTGGTAATGGCATCCATGTAATGTAGGCTCTTTCTAGGCTCAGCACCCTTTAGCTAGTTTCAACCTTACGTCTCTCCTTTAGTTCCACCTGCCATGTGAAGCAGGTACAATTCCTATCCCCTTTTCAGGGCTGGGAAAGTGAGGCTTGAAAAGGTTAAGCACTTGCTCAGAGAATAAGGGGTGGAGTTTGACAGATTACGGAGCCTGAACTCTTAACCACTGTGAACTCTTAACCACTGTGAGCACTGCCTGCAGTTGAAGCTGCTTTGGTCCCTGAAGGTGCTGACCATGCATAGCAGTGGTTGGCAACAGAGCCAAATATCAACAGTACAACGATTGAAAATTCAACAGTACAACGATTGAAAATTCTTTTGAGAGCCAAGTATTTTAAACTTAAACTATATAGATAGGGTACTCCTAAGGCTTAGGAAGAGCCACACTCAAAGAGCCCCATGTGGCTCACAAGCCACAGTTTGTCCACCACTGGATAGTGGGTCCCTTCGCCTGTGGTGTGAGCTGTGGCCACCAGGTGGTGCTGTGGAGAGAGAAATAACAGTGGTGCTGCTATGCACTTAAATCCTAAGTCAGAAATCAGATAAATCAGTTATGCTCATGTACATGACATGTTCAGGAAGTTAGGCCAATTGTCTGCTCTGATAAGATTCCATAATTTAAAGGTCATGAAGTGTAGGCTTGCAGTAGAGGATGTGTAGGGATCTAAATGGGAATAATTCTTGATGGTGACAGTGTTTTGGTCTGAAAAAGAGGAATTTCAAACTCATCCTTCCATAAGAGGCTGTTGGAGATGCACAAGGACTATTAGTGAGCAGTTTAGGTGGACTGTCCCGTTGCAGCAGCCAGAAGCATACCAGGAAGTGTCCCAAAGTGTTTGAACAGGAGCAGGAGTTAGTTGTGTGTGAGCCAAGTTGTCAGGGAGCTTGTCATTAGGGCGGAGGAGTAAGAAAAACCGGGCCCTAAACTAGTAAACATTCTTATTTAATAGTTAACACATTGACATTGAAAAATAGTCTAAGGCAGCGGCTCCTAGAGCAATATAGAATGCTCCTCACGTGCTAAGTAAAGCCTGGCACAGGACGCCACTAAATTAATTAAGTGGGGTCAGAGCATAATGGCTCACTGAGTCCTGATCCTGGTTGTGCTGTGGGTATTGTTTCCAACTCTCCTGGGCAGGACAGGACTCTGATTTCCCAAGACCATTTAGCTAAGGCAGTCATTTGTTATTCATTTCATTTATTTGCTGTTTTGTTTTGTTTTTCCTTCCTCTCTTGGGTTATCCTGCGGATCACAATTTAGCAACTCGGTGCAAAAAGAGTCACTTCTGCAGAAGTGGAAGCGAGGACAAGGCCAAGTCTCCATCATCCCGCCTGGCTTTCTATAAACGCCTGAGGTTCTGGACCTGCTCTGACATCAAACCTGCTTCTCACTAGCCCCTCCCTTTCTCAGACACTGGGGATTTCTAATCCATCAGTGTCTTCACAATGTACCTGCCTTCATGTCTGAAATTCAAACAAACAAAGAGAAAAACAGTAGCTAAAGGCCTGATGTCCCATAGTGGACCCCTCCTCCTGACCCACATTCCAAGCCAAGCTTAAAGCAGCCAACCTGAATTCTGACTTCATAGGGACCAGTTGTCCCAGCCTCTGGACCTGACTCCAGCATAGAGCAGTGTTAGGGGAGCCTCGGGGCATCCACATCCAGGTCCCTGGGCCAGGGTGTCTGTGCTAAGTGAGTCCTGGGCCCAGTGCCACCCCCTCTCTGGCACCTGCAAGCTTGTAGACCTTGCCCCTGTGCAACACAGAAGTCATCAGTGGTCGCTATGCTTCTGAAACTGTGCTTCCCCTGTCAAGTGAGATTTTTTAAGACTCATTTTTGGGCAGCTAACTTTAAATCTGCTGCCCTTGTCTCCACTTTCTGAGTCAGAGCGCAGAAATTAGGCTTTTGCGGAGTAGTCCCTTTTAGATGTGTTCTGTGTTTTTGAAGAACTGACTGCTCCACTCCGCATCTCAAATAATCGGATCGATGTTGCCCAGCCAGGGTTCAGCCCAGAGTGATGTTTTAGGACCGTGCTGAGCTCCTCTGACGTCTTGGATGCTGCTGTGAGGGCAGCAGTGGACAGACAGGTCATCAGCTCACTGTCACCGTCAGCCGGGAGCGCTGGTCCGCAGAGGCCTTTAGCTACTGCATTGTTTTCTGTCTTCAGCCATCCTCATACCATCTCCATGATTTTTCAAAGTCTATTTCACCTGAGTGATACTTACATACTTTCCCTTGAATCGACTTGCCATTTCCACTTTAATTTAAAAGGAAAGATTGTTATCCATATTGTGAGTGGAAAACCACTATCATATAAATACAAGGTCACCGTAAAAGTAAACGGGTAACTCTCTCACTGCTCCTGTCAGTTGATGTGGCACTCACTTCTTCGAAAGCATCGCTCTGATTCCTGGGCTGCCGCATGCTGGTCCCCCGCCTGCCTGCCCCGCATGCTGTTGGAAACACCATCTCTCTGCCTTGGCTGCTCTCTGGCGCCTCTGCCTCCCCGCTGCTGCTCACACTGACCTCACGCAGTGGACGCCTGTCAGATTCGTCCCACCAGACTTGAATCTTGCTGCTCATCAAGGTTATCTTTTAGAATCCAAATTTCCCCTTGATTTCACATTGCAAGGCTTGGGTGCTTAAAAATACCCCATGAGTCCAGACACTGGGTGGCTGAGGGCCATGGGGGACATGTCCTGGGAGAGTGTGGAGGGACTGGAATCCCCACAGTGGGCATGGATTTGGGTCCATAGCTCTCAGGCTGCCTGGAGCAGGACACTGTGCAAAACAACCTTGTCCTGATGCTCTGAGGAACTCCAGCCACTTTCATTTTTCACTTGTATTTGGAGAGCCCATCCCCTTTCCTACTAGGAGGTAGTGGAAGGTTTTTCAGGTGTGTTTTTCCTCCCAATGTTGCTGTTTTTATTGGGGTTTTATTTAACTTAGACAAGGGTATATGTTCATAGAAGAAAATTCAGAAATTGCAAAACATGGTAAAAATTATTCTTGCAATCAAAGTCACCATGAGAGATGAAGACTTCTTAAACAGATGACTGTTAGGGTGGCAATGAACTTCTTTCTCAAATCATAAGGGAAGCCCATTGGCAGGGTGCACATCCTGGACCTTGAGGGCCTGGCCCACAGGTCGGGAGTGGTCCTGAGCAGCCACAGGCCAGGTCTTCTTACTATTGAATCAGGGACTGAGGGACACGGCATGGGGCCAGTACTTAACATGTTGGACTTTACCAACATTTTGTTGAGCCTCCTGAGCTTACCTTTATTTTCTCCTGGCTTCTGGGGGCTCGCACTGTGAGCCATGGTTAGAGCCAGGGCCGGCGTCCTGGGGCCTCCAGCTCAGGCTGCCACCAGGGCCCCCACTTAGACCACAGCCCATGAGGCACACAGCCCCGCTTTTGTCCCTGGGCTCCCTGCCCTGCTGCCTCTGCTTCTAGGCCTCAGTGTGATCTCCCCACCTTGGCATGGGATTTTGCAGCCCCATTTCTCACTGTTCTTCTCTGCCCCAAGCCCTGGGGACCCAATACCAAAGGGAGTGGCCCCACCCAGAGGCAGTCTTGACTGCACTGATGCCTCCGCTGACCCAGCCACCAAGCCCAGGCCATCAGAGCTGGGCTCCAGGGCCTGTTCATCCTCAGCCATCACTACAGCTCCTCCCAGCTCCACCTCCACCTCCCGGCACCCAGGCCGCACCCACGGTGAGTCACGGGTCCCTCCAGAACCAAGAGGGATGAGCATCTCGGCCCGAGGTCCTTCCCAAAGACCCAGCTCACAGGAGCAGGAGGCGCCTCTCAGACCGAGAGGTGGTCAGTAGGTGGGTGACGCTGGGGACAGGATGGCTTCCCACACACTCAGGTCCAGAGCTCACCTCCACCTACAGCTGTGCAACTTTGGGAGGGTAACTCTGCCATCTGGACGGCTGGGCCTGAGCCCTGGGACCCACACCACTGCTCAGGAATTGGTGGCACCAAGCGGCTCCTGAACGGAGGTGAACCAGAGTTTGGGTTAAAATCAGGCAACATTGGAGGTTTTTTCTCCAGGGAGGAGACTTGACAGGGTCCCTGCACTGGAGGCCGGTCCATGGCGAGGAGGGCAGGTGTCCTAGACTGAAAAACAAGGGGACTCGGGGAGGATTGACAGGTTGGATGTCTCCAGATGCCAGTAGCCCTTCGTGCAAAGTAAGCCACTTTGCACGGTGCAACCAGAACAGGATGCTGTGAAAAGAAGCATCTGGGGATGAGCACTGGGAAATATAAAATATGCAACAGAGGGGAGAAATACATCTTAAAACTTAAAAAGACATTCTGCTTATGACCTAGAGATGACAGCATCTGAGGACAGCAGAAGAGCTGGAAATGAAGGCCCCGGAGGTGTGAGAAACTGACGAGAGAAGAAGCAGTTATGATTTTTCATCATCTTACCTCCCACTGGACCCTGGAAGCTATGACAAGCATAACTGTGGTTTGAAAAGCCCAGCAAAGACAGACAGGGCCCCTGCCCTCTAGGCTGCCTGGCTCAACCTCAGGACCTGGCCTCTGGTTTACAAATCAGAAGGACCCCTGGGAGGTGAGGTGAGTGAGCACAGGGCAGGAGGCAGTCCCTCTGGCCAGACACTGAAATGGCAGCCACTGACTGGTGGGTGTCAGGGGCGCTGTGCCCTGTGCGGCTGGGGTGGGCTCGCTCCGTGTCCCTTGTGGGCACTCAGCAATCAGCCTGGTCTCCCAGGCTCTGCAGAGCAGAAGCTCTGCCTGGGCTCCAGCAGGAGCCTGAGCACCACCTCCCCTGGGCCTGCCAGCGGCCTGTGTGGCTCCAGGCCCCGCCCTCCAGGCTAACCGTTGGGCTGCCTCAGCCTGGATCCCCCCTGAGCCAGAGCCCAGGCCTGTTCAGATGCCTGTGGAACCTGCCCGAGGGCCCCTCACACTGCACGCCCAGCATTGCCCACGGCGATTCCTGGCAGCCCAGTGCTCACACTTAGGGGAACCTAGAACTGTCTGCAAAATGGAGACCCTGGTGTCCATTTTGGGGGGACCCAGGGCTGCTGTCAGAGAGCAGCTGGCAGGCCTGAGGCATAGGGCATCTTAGTCCTTCTCAGGGAAGAGCAGTGACTGGTGGCCCATGGATTCCTGACACTGCTGGTGAGGAGCTGCTGGTGCAGGCTCAGTCTCTAGGGAACCCACCTCCTCCCTCAGGTGGTGGTTCTTTCCTTTTGCTTCCTCCAAGCCCTGGAGGCCCCAGGCCCCTGGGAGAGGATTGCTCTCAGGGCCCTGCTTATGGTGCAGCTGGCCCTGGAGGTGGGAGGGGCTCCCGGGATTCTAAGTATCAGCTGCCTTTGCTGCATGGCCCTTAGGCCAGGACACTGCTGTCCTTTGGAGTCCCAGTCATTGCAAAGGCAGAAGTGTGACTTAAAGTTAAGTCAGAGAGAGTCCCGAGTGTGAGGCTGTCCCAGCAGGAGAAATGGGGAGAGATAGGACATACAGGGCACATACTCCCCAAGGGCATAGCCCACCCTACCCTCCCTCCTCCAGGAGCTGGACTCGACCACGACTCAGGGCTGGGCCAGAGTCAGAGGTGGCCGTCTGGCAAAAGGCCCAGAATCTCCGTGGATGTTCCAGGTCCGCTGACTCACCAGCCTTATGTTCTCCGCGGGCTAGAATTCAGATGACAGCTCCTGTAAGCGGTCCCTGGAGCTCCAGTTTCCAACCACAGGCAGCAGGGGGAGTGGGCGGTGCGTGGTGCCCTTCAGCCTGGATCTCAGACCTGTTTCCACCAACAGTGCTTTTCCTTCAAGCTAAGGCCTGTGTGCAAGTCCCACACACAAAGGCGGTGAAAGTGGAGGTGTTGTGCTGAAGCGGGAATGGGGACATGCAGTTCCTCAACACCCCTTCCCTGCCTCCCCGAGGGGCCTAAGCATGCAGCTCCTGCTTGCACCCCTCCCGTGATGGGGAGTCGCTATTCTGGAGGCTCTGGCTGCCCTTGCCTGAAGGAAGGCCTAGTGGCCCAGGCAGAGAGCCCTGATTGCAGGAAGGCTCACCTTCCTCACCTGGATTGGAGTTGCCCAGAGCAGCTCCCAGGGGTAAATTTCATCTTAGAAATTGGTGGAAACACTTGCCTTCTCATGTAGGCAGAAGGGAATCAGTGAATGAGACTAGCCTTCTAGATCAGAGGTGGGCAAACTTTTTGGCTCGAGGGCCACAATGGGTTCTTAAACTGGACCTGAGGGCCGGAACAAAAGCATGGATGGAGTGTTTGTGTGAAATAATATAAATTCAAAGTAAACATCATTACATAAAAGGGTATGGTCTTTTTTTTTTTTTTAGTTTTATTCATTTCAACCAGGCCGGATCCGGCCCTCGGGCCGTAGTTTGCCCACGGCTGTTCTAGACCATTAACAGTCACTTTGGGTCTTTATAATTTCCCAAGAACAAAATCCTAGGAGGGTAGGAAGCTAACTTTTTAATTAAAACAAAAGCTGAGAGCGTTTACATTGCCTTCGGCTTCTGAAGTATCAACAATAAGTGCAGGAGGAGCACTATCTCCCACCCTCCCATTGCCTAGAAAGCTCTATGGTGCTGGCATGGGCTCCTGCAACTTATGGGCAGAGACAGGCTCTGTGGGGGGCAGTGTGACAACGAGGAGCCCTCCCCTCTTCGCACTGGGTGGAGGGTAACACGACAGGAGGAGTCGGCCACTGCTCTTGGAAGTGTCACCTAGGGGCCAGATTTACACTGAATCTGCTGAGGAAAGGGAATGTCTTCCTAACTGTTCTGATTCCTGGTGCTTCTCTCATCAAGAGACAGAAGTGAAGGGGTGGGCAGTGCAGGGCTGGAATGGACTGAGGCTTTGGGAGCCGCTGAGCTGTATCACAGTTGCCTTTCAGTGACACGTCCTTTTCCAAGATGAAGGTGGGTTTTTTGTTCAAGTTTTCCTTCTGTGCTCTTCATGGGAACCAAGTACTTGGCTCACCCCCAAACCCCGCTGCTAACAGGCTTTTTCCGATGCCTGATATTTGGGTAGTGCACCAGGGCTGGGGAACTGGGTGCCCTGTGTCCCAGTGAGTCCAGAGCAGACTGCTTGGGGGGCGGAAGCAGAGCCGTCCCTAGTGTGTCCCCGGTTCTCAGTGCAGTTCAGCTCAACAGCAGCTGTGTGCAGGGACGACGGGCACACAGTCCCTGTCCCCAGCTGTGACTGTGCAGCGGGACCAGCCCTGATGATACCTGGCGTGGCGCCTTGGGACTGAGTGTGCTGGGGGCGTGGACCAGGAGGGGAGGTCTGCAGGCCTGGAAGGGACCCCCTGCCCTGGCCGGGTGGGGCCGTCCTCCCTGCAGCAGGTGCTCCCTCTCTGATCCCAGGGAGGCAGGGAGGGCTGCCCTAGACACACTGCAGCCAGGAGGGCGGCTGCCCCACACTTGTCACGGGGGAGGTCCGTTTCGTTTCCCTTTGGGGCAGATGTCAATTTGAAACAAAAAAGAGAAGGAGCTGAAGGACAGCAAACAGCCACGGAAAGCCAGCACGTTCTTTCCTCCTGAGAATCCAGCACCCGACCCCTCAGACCACCGAGGGGAAGCAGGAACAGACTTCATTGTCCACCTGTGGCATGCACACTCTGCCCTGTGCTGGCTCCCGCCCCCACCAGGTGCCCCTGTCCTGGCCTAGGCAGGGTGTTTCCACGTGTTCTAGAAAGCTCCATGTGTAGTAAGGGTGGGCTCCCCACCCCTCCACAGCTTCACTTTCCCAGAGCCGCCCTGTTGGGTCTGTACCGGAGTTCTGCGTGAAATTTCCTTTGTTAACAAAATTGTTTGAGCCCAGCCCCGGACCTCACAGACACAGAAGCACAGGCTGTCATCCGCACAGCCCATGCCCACTGTGCACGGGACCTGGCACTCGGGAGGCGGGACCCTCCTGGGGCATCTCAGAATCCAGGTCTGTGCTCCTGGGGGCGCTCCCCTGAGCTGTAGCAGAATCGCTGTTATGTCCTTATTGTCAGACTGGAGGGCTTAGTTTGGGCTAGACTGGGTCATCGGCCCTTTGGGTTAAGGGTTGTCCTTTCCTCTCAGGGTCCGGGCCAGGCAGCTTGGAGAGCCATAGGCATGCGTCCAGTGACGGCTCACCTCGGGGCCTGAAGGGTAAGTCGGCTTTCCTTCTGGGCACTTTCCAGTGCCCTTGGATCTGGGCTCTGGTCTTTGTGTTATTTGTGTGATTTAAAGAAGACAATTAGCAAGTTCATTGCAGCATGATGGGTTTGCCTCCATAGGACACATCATGCAGTTTCAGGCTGAGGCCTGGGAGTTGTCACGGATTTGGGTTCAGATCCCTTCTCCTCACTGACCGGCTCTGGGCACCTGGTCGAGCCACCCATCCTACGAGTCTGAGTTCCTGCAGCTTCCGCATGGCACAGGGCCGGGAGTTCTGGTCCATCGTGGTCAGAGGACACGGGTGAGTGTGATCCCTTGACAGCGTTTAAGTTTGTTAATGGTGTAGAAGATGGTCTGTCTACAGGGGGTCAAAAGACCCTTTCACAGGGGTCGCCTAAGACCATGGGATAACACATATATAATCACATATTGTTTTTGTGATTAATCACTATGCTTTAATTATGTTCAATTTGTAACAATGAAAATACATCCTGCATATCAGATATTTACATTACCATTCATAACAGTAGCAAAATTACAGTTATGAAGAAGCAATGAAAATAATT